TAAGACTATTATTAGAATTAGATGTTTGTGAAAATTACATGATTACAAAAACTGAAATTGAATTGTCGGTCTGAATGACGAGTGGCGCGTCGGTTTCCCGCGGAAACGTCGTTTCTTTCCGGCGCATTGCGATGCGGCCCACACACGGGATCCGTAATATTGGGCATCGAAGGTCGCCGTTAATTATGAGCGCTGAATATAAATCGCCCGATCGGATCGATCGTCCTTATGTGTCGCTTGCTTGTACGCCACTAAAGAAGAGGAATCGGCGACGAGTAGTAGATTCGTTTGGGTAGGAAATGGAAACGTCGCGGCTTGGCGTGTGGCAATCGCCTTCATAAATTCAACGACGTTCACTAAGGGTACCCAGATACGGCTTCGGAAATCGTACAGGATTCGAATAATTTGCACCCGCGGTTCGGTGGGGCTTCCACACTGCTTCTCCGCTCGTTTACTCCTTCGTTTTATGCTCTTCCTCGGCCCTCGTCGTTTTTACTCTAAATTAGAATTGATAGTATTGAAGAAAATGTTTCTCGAACGAGTTGTTGAAATGAAAACTTTAGACAATATGTACTCTGAGGGTAAAATTATAATTGGAGAATTGCTCCTGTTTGTTCATTCATGGCACAGCTTCGACGTTCCAATTAAACATTCTTTTAACATTAAATGTATCGACAGTTTTTATATATTTGAGTGCAATTTGGTGTAGTTTGGTGGACACTAGTACTTCAGTTTGGTAGCAGCTTAAATAATAATTACAATTTTTTACAATTTCTTTTTATTTCTTATAGAAGAATTTAACAATAGAATTACCGAACCAGTCGAATATTATTTTTGTAATCTATTACTGAGTGTCTTTATTTATGAATACAATAATTGTGATAATAATAAATACCTTCTACGAGTGGTAAGATTTTTCATAAGTATTTTGTATGAGAGCCAATTTATCAATTTATATTTGGTAAAATATTTAATTCTTTCATAAAATATGGAGTCCCCCTTTACACTTCTTGTACAAAACGTATTTAGCATTGCTGCAGTTTGGCATACATTCGTTCGCACGTTGCATTTGTAAAGGTCGACGACCCCGGAGTTCGGTATTCGAATTATCGAACGTTTTCGAGGAACCGGAAGCCGTTTCCGCTTCACGTGACTCCTTGAGTAGAGGACGTCGTAAGAATTGAAGTACACTTTCCGTCGGAATTAAAGGCAAATAACTGAAACAAGCCTCCACAAAATTGATAAATAAATGTATAAATAAAACTTTTCATCTACTAAAAGTTGTTCGGTTTTTATTTCGGTGCAGTTTCATTCTAATTTGCATTTGCAGACATTCCATCATTCATAAGAATGGCCAATATTATAATTGAATAAAATCTTTGTACAAATAAACCATTTCCTATTCCGCCTTAAAAAACTAAACGAACGAATATTAATAATTAAATCAGTGATATCATTGATGAATCACTTGTGAAAGTTTGAATACAGCGTAAAGCCGATGGTTAATCCAGTATGAAAAGTTGATCACATCACGTCGACACGCGCCTCTCTCTAGAGTGGCTCGCTGGCAAATCCTTTAGAAAATCTCCGGGAAAAAAACTATTATCAGGGGTCGACTAGTTTTCCCAGAAGGTTCAGATAATTTCGAGGCATTCAAACATTTTTAACGACACGTGTCGCGCGCGTTCCTCTCCCCATCTGCGAGTACGTGTTCGTTCCCCCATTCGTTTGTAGTTGCGTGGGCGGCCGCCCCCCTCTCGTCCCCGTGGCGAGCACGGCCCTGGGAGAGCATGCTGGTGCATTGTACATCGTAATGTATTTTCTTTTAGGTACCGCCGACAATAGCGAGCCTGGCGGCGATGAAGGTGGAGGCAGCTGACCCGAAGGTTTCCGGTGAGTTACTATTTCCGCCTCCTTACGGGAATTATCGGGCTCGTAATTAGATTCAAATCGACTCGCGTTTGCCTGCCGCGGCGTTCGTTCGACGACCTGTACGAACAGTAAGAGCACGAAAAATGAAATGAACCAGAGATAAAGATGGAAGGGGATGGTTGGTTCGAAATGATCAGTTTTTAACCCTTCTTGCTCAATGAATATTGGCTTACGATTTATATCAGTCTGCAAGGTGCATTTGCCATTTCACTGTACCTGGCGTAATTAACTGTACAATTAGGCGAAATAAAATTCTCGACAGAAAGGGTTAATTATTGGACAAAGTCTGTATAGCAGACTTTACTGGAGGAACTTGAAGGAAATGTATTTTAATCTTAATCTTTCATCTTTACTTTCAACTCCGATCTTTAATAGTTTGAAATATTATTGAGAAATCGAATACAAAGAACCGATGGATTTCTTAAATATTGGAAGGTTATTTTTTTTAGACATTTTCTAAGATTCTTGAACTTCATTGAAATCATTCGACGATTTGTTGAATGAAACAAATGGTTCAGAGCGTTAGGAAATCCTCCATGAAACTGGTTACGACTGTTTAATCTGATTTTCGACGCGATTAATCAAAACCTGTCTTTAATGCGTTATTAGAAATTGTTGGAATCGGCGCGTGAATGGTCCCGTATCGCGGTGGGTCAATTATATTAATTCCCACGATCGCGTGCAGTCCGTTTCTTTACTTCGCGCGTTCGGCTACTTGTCTTCTCTTTATTTACCCGATTGAATCGGGCAGGCTCGTAAATCGTGCGCGCAACCTGACGAAACGGAGAGCTGGAGCGAGTGGCGAGCAGTCCGTGTCCCATGCTTTCAGCGTTTTGTGGCCGGGGGCTCTTCCCCCTTTATTGGAATATCCGCCCACAGCATTATGGGAATTATCAAGGAAATGGGATGAGCGCAACTGGGTCCCACGAGGGCCGTGGGGAGGGGGGAGGGGAGCAGGGTGCCTCCAGGGATGGGAGTTTTGGTCGCGGACGATCGGGAAAAGAGAGGAAGAAGAACCGAGTCGAGTGGAAACAGATTCATGCAGGAGCCCCTATTGCGCACCCTACCCATTCACAAAAATTATCCCCGTCGATGGAAAAATATTGCGACAGGAATTGTAGTTTCATTATCCTTCAGCATGATCGATGGGGGATGATCAGGTTTAAATGATACTCAGATTACAATTAGTTTCTGATAATGCAAAATTCACTGCTTTTATGGAACGTCATTCTAAAACGCGATTGTCAGATTAGTCATTTTCAACAAGATAGGCTATTCAAAGTGAATTGCTAGAAATTAGTATGGGAATTGTAGTTTCATGATGCTGCATCGTAATTGATGGAGAATGACCAGGTTTAAATGATATTCAGATTCATCATCATCATTTAATTTCTGTTAACATAAAGTGCTTTTATAAAACGTCATTTTAAGATTGTATGAGCCATGAAATATCTTCCAAAAATTCAAGAAATGTGATAAGAAGATACGTCCAATACTTCAAGTGGAAAACTTTTAAGAGAAATTATATTTACAGAGAAGTTAAGTTTCTAAAATTATTCCATGTGTTTGTTTTCAAAGTATTGTTATATATTATATCAAAGTATATTTTTTTTCTTAAAGTATAAACGATTATACAAGATTACTGAGACTTTCTTGTCAAGACGTTCTGTTCAAGACATTAACGACTATAAAAAAATTGCAAATTTCTGTCATGATTGTATCTATATTTTTAGATAAGTGGAATGATTACCATTCGATATAAGAATTCAAGAATAGCCACGCAAAATTTCTAAAATTTCACACGGTGTTCCATTCATGTAATGTCTAATAACTTAAAATCCCAATGCTTGGTCACTGTTTTTATTAAAGAAGCTCATACAACCTTAAAACGCTAAACGCGACTGTTTGATCCGTCATTTCGAACCTGAAGGAGACGCTATTCAAAGCGGATGGTTAGCAATCAGCAAAATCGTGTGGGACCGTAGAATTATAGTAATTATTCGGTGAAGTCATAGGATAGACAATGAAGTTTCTATAACAGAAGATGGCGTTACGTCATGCGACTACTTGAAACGCTGCGCGGTAAGGGATTCCTCGGCGAGCAAAAAGGAAAAGGTCCCATGGAAAGCTTGATAGAATAGTCGAGTGACGAGTTCTAACGAGACAACGGACGAGGTTTAATTTTAGTTCGGCACCGCGAACAAGAAGAAGAAGAAGAAGCACCGCGCGGCGATCGATTAGCTATAGAATAGAGTAGAGAGAAGTCAGTGACTCGATGAGAATTTCATTAATTATAGGACATCGCCGGGATGGGATCGGAGACTTGGTGTTGCGCAATCGCGTCGATACTCGTTTATAAATACGCGCCGAGCTGACCGTGTCTACCTATGTATATTCCTCTATCTCGTTAATTTCTTATTTCTCTAATCCGCCAGATCTCCCGTTTAACCCAGTTGTTGCCCTACTGCGTCAGTCATAAGCCTTAGAAACCAGCAAGACTTCTTCTTTATTAAAAATCACGAATTTTGTTTAAGTTCTGTAAAATGGAAAAAGATTATACGACACATTTGATTTAGGCATCAACTGTGTCTTTTGTGAACGAGAGAGTTGGTTTCAGCGTCAGCAGATTCTTGATCTGTTCGACGAATTTTCTTGAATACCTTTTGGTGCCGAGCTGTCATAATCGTAAGAGTAACAATGAGCAGTCCGTGGTTTAAAAATCGTCGGGGACATTGTTTGGAGTAGGCGACGCGATTGTTTGAAATAATTTGATCGCCGCGCGGCGAATTCCATTAGGTTTTCCGTTGAAATCGAAGAAACGAATCAGGACTGACAGCGGAAATTATGGTGATCGTTTGACAAAGGAGAGTGGCCCGGGCAGGACGGCCGCGGGACGGGGAAATGGGAAGAGGAGTGGGCGGCCTCTCCTCGGTCTCTCTGTTATCCAGAGGCACATTCCCACAATTTCGGATCGGCCAATCAACGTCTGCTCGCGTTCACCCGGACGATGTATTAAACCTCGTCGCGAGATCTGCGCGTGAAACGGAATAAAATGAAATTGTGCCTCCGTTCCCTTGGCGTGCGTGTGTGCGCGCGTGCATCGGAAAGGAAAAATAAAAAGACGCAGGCGAACGTAACGTGCGTACGCGGGTATGCGAGTTAACCGATAGAGAACCGGGAGAGAGAGAGAGAGAGAGAGATGGCAGAAGAGAAAGAGGAAGAAAGAAAGAAAGAGGGAGAGAGAGAGAGAGATGGCAGAAGAGAAAGAGGAAGAAAGAAAGAAAGAGGGAGAGAGAGAGAGAGAGAGGCGGAGAGAGAGAGGGCAGCAATCAAAGCTGATTAAGCCCACAACTGGGGAATCTGTGGGGCCAGTGTCTCACGCCAATCTCGCCTAATCAGCCGGTTGGCCGGGGAGATTTAAAAAATAGAATGCCTACTGTCAATTGTCCCATAATTTAAATAAATCGAATAAATGGACAAAGTGGCCAATTAGAGTAGTTGCTGCTTGCTGCTTCAACGCATCATTCTCTCTTTCTCGCGGTGTCTTCGGTGCCCGCCTCCCTCCCTCGCCCCGCGATCCTCCCCGGGCGAAATTTACCCCCCGAACACCGAGGACCCCGTCTCGCTCGGTTCGTTGGACCCGCGCCTTTTCACCACGGACCGTCTCCTCTTCCAAACTCCGTCTCTTCCCTTTCATATGCCCTCTTTGCGACTACCCGACGATCGACGTTCGCCTAACGCTGGATTTACACGAGCACCTCGCGCAACCGTCGCGTTTACTATCGTCCCGCCGTTTGAAGAGCGCCGTTTATGACGCGCGATGACTCGACTCTTAAAACCACCCGGCTGCCATGCACGTTGCCCAGCCTCGGAACTCGATTGATATCTTTGGGCGAAACTCTTTGATGGCTTTTGTATATTGTTCAACAGATTGAAATCTACACTGCCGATTGAAAGTATGTGAATAATTGCTTGACTGGAATAAAGCAGTTTAAAAGAAGTGAGAAAACCGTGAATAGATTTTATACAATTTCGTGTAATTTATACTATAATGGTTAGAAATTATGTCTTGTCAATGAGAATAATAAATAATTATATATTCTCATTTATGTATCCTGTGTCTTAATTATAGCTTTTAGTCTTCGCATACTGTCTGTTAATTTTGTCATCATTTCAATCATCAATCTAATTACGATTTCTTAAAGTTCCCATTTTTTTTTATACACTAAACGAAGGACAGACTAGAATAGGCCACTAAACTTAAATAAATCACAGAAATTGTTGAATTATACGTTCAAAATGTAATAAAAATCCATCGACACGTGATACAGGATGAAAGAAGGCGTTTGTATAAAACAACTAAACTACGCTCGACAATCTTCTAGTTGGTCTTGTCTATCATCTAATATCTAATAATTGCCTGATTTTAATATCTTGATAATGGATCGTGCATTAAAGTTCTCTGGTACAGTTCAAAGTGTTTAGACTTTTACTTCCTCGTGCAATAGTTAAATAAAAGGAAAAGTTCAAGTTCAACCAGTTAACAATTATTTAAATTCTAATTTCAAAAGTAATTAAATCGGTCTGATGATATTAGGGTTACCACTAGTACTATTACATTGCATATTCAAACGTATGAAATTTGATAAAAAACATTGTTTAACAATTCTGACATTTTGATAGACGCCCACGTATTTCCAAGCAACAGTGTACATCGAATGGCTTTAAATTACTATAATTACTGAGACTCTCGGTCTCTCGTTTATATTGAGGAAGCAAGACCGCAAGTGCTGTGAATCAATTAGGAAATCGACTTCGGAGATTCATTGCTTCATCGTTACATTCACAGAGCAATTTTAATTATTTCGTCCTGTTACACTCACTAAAATTTTGATGTATATTTAATTTAATAAACAAAAGTACATAAAATGTCAACAGGCAAACGCACATCGCAATGTTTA